TTCTAGAGGACAAATAATTTTCGCACATTTAGGTCATCGTTAGCTGATGTCACACTTAATGTAAATGGTCAAGTAAACTTGAACTGAAGACGTTGCCGGTTAGGCAATAGACAAATCTGGTGTTATTATCCTTTTTAGAACATTTTATGCTAAAAAAAAATATTTTTGAGAGTAACTTCTTGTCAAAAATTTATAATTTTTTAGAGTGACAGAAAAAAAAAAGAACAAGTGGATGAAGCATATGATAGGTTATATGACATTATCTATCTTCTTGCTTTTCTGTTTTTTTTTCCTTATTTCAACCTACATTTTTTAGCAATTCTAATGTTTTTAGTTCAGTTTATCACTTTTTTATTGCTGCAATCGTTATACCGTTATTGTCCTGTGTACATTCATTTTTTTCTTTTGAGTTTTTTTTTGGGCTTTTGTTTATCAGTTTTTTTTTTTTGTTTATTTTTTTCAGCAAAACTTTTTTTGCATGTGAAAGACAAACTTTGTAAAAAAAAAAAATAAAAGCAAAAAATTATAGGCAAAAAGTTGAAAAAATAAAAAGTGAAGTTCAATAAAGTTAACCATGTGCAAAAATGTCAGCATTCGGAGGGCAAAGGTCGTCACGATTGGTACCACGATTTCGTCGTGTCGGCCGAAAACTTCCACACCTCAGTTGGCGCATACGACGTTCCTTGCTTCGCCGATTCTGGAACCATACCTTAAAAAAAAAAAAAAATTAAGACTTCTGCTATAAAACAGTCGTATATAAACATTTGATTCATCACTTCAGTAGACCTCTGATAACCTTTAGAATTGTTGTAATGTTGCATGTCAGTCTTCACTGTTCTCAGTTGAAAAACAAATTATACTCTATCAAAACCTATATTTTTGGTTATTAAATTAATTGTTGTCCAATATCTAATAAAAACAACAAAATTTAGACAAACTGCTGATTTATTTTTTACTATAATTTAATAGATGTAGTAAAAATTACTTTAAAAAAAAAGGAATAAAAGATGACACTGCTGTTTTATTTCACTTTTTTTTTTCTGGAAGACAAAAAGAAACAGAAAATTGTGAGAAGAAAATGAATGCTTTCAGATTGAACTGTGTCGTTGTTTGGTGATTTGGTTGACTGTTCTGTAGAAATAAATGCAATTTTCAAATACTTTCGTATCTGTTAGTTTTTTTTTCATTTACTTCTTCTCTGCTGTTTTTTTTTTTTTTGGCTCTTCGTATTTAAAATATTGAAGCATCAATGACATCAATGTTGGTATCAGTATGACTTGTTTGGGTTGTGAAAAGCTGGAGAAGTGAATAAGAAATCAACAGAAATACTCATCAAAACATATCGACAACATTGACAGCTTAAGTATCATTGAAAAAAGAAAAAAAAAAAAGCCAAAAAAATTTTTTTGTCCCCGTTATTTGTCGTCATTAGGGAAAAAAGAGAGGAAAAAAGATGACGATGAAAAGGAAAGACGAGGAAAGAATTTTGGAGAAGAAGAAGAAGAAGAAAGAAAGCAGCAGAAGCAAACAGAAAACTACTTTTTTTCCATCTTTTCTTATTTTGTTTTTATTTTCACTTTTTTTTTTTTTCTTGCTTGGTGTCGTCAATATTTGGAGAAGCCTTTTCGAAAATGTGCAGTAAATGATTAGATAATCAAATATGCGTAAAACCTATGCTCTTCAATTCTCTCCTCGCCTACTTTTTTTTTTTTTTTTTGTGTTTTTCTGCTTAATCTTTTAGTATTCTTGACATTAAAAGCAGAAGTGTTTTTCTCGCTATTTTTACAGGGTTAATGGCTTACGGTAGTTTGACGAAAATTCGATTTCCCCATGAGAGTCAGGTTTTTTCTAATAGAAAATGATACCGTATGCAGAGATGCATGAACCACCATCAACTGACAGCAACAATGAAAGCAGAGGTTTAGTGAGACGGTGGTTTAGAAATCGCAAACAACAGCAGAAAACACAAACTTGTCGAAATTTGTAGGAAGAAATGGAATAGCTGCTACAATTAGCAACAGTAGTTGTAAAAAATGAAAAGCTAAGACAATGCTGACTAAAAATATAATGATGGAGAAGACAAAAGAGAAAAGTAAGGAAACAGTTGACAAAGATAAAAGCAGCAAAAGTGTACATTGAAAAGAAGATAAAAAAAAAA